CAAAGCGAGACATTTCATTTAAACGTGTTTCGCCTCATTGTACGCACTTTTTGGTGCAGTTGTTACTTTAGTCCCACAATTCTTAAGCGATTCGGGCTACCCTCTAGATTTGGCTCATCAGAAGGTCGCAAAAGGGGATCACACCTGTCATAAATGTGAACCAGTTGCCAACTGGCTGGGTTTTGATCATGTGACCACGGGGAGGCGGCAGTGTTTGAGGTGTGAAAAACGGCCATAAGTCACCTTTTTTTTTTTCCAAGTACCGTTGTTACAGTCACTAAACGAACCGTTATAAAGACGAGGACTTAACCCGGATTTTTCCCCACCACGGAGCAGATGCTGTGTCAACTCATAAAATATTCCTATGGTCTTTTTAGAGTTGCCAACAGAAAGGGAGAAAGGGAGAAGCAGTGCGGCAGCTTGGAAACCAAAAGTGCATTCCATAAATGTTTTCAAAAATAGTAACTAGGCGACTGAAGTTTCTGCCACGCAAATATCTAACTGGAGAGCATGATTGATGATTCTTGGCTATGGATGTGTCCCATTGGAGAATATGAATTACGATACACCCAAAGGGGTGGGGTGGGGTGGGGGAAACCAGGGTCAAGGGTGACAATGAATGATATGTTAGAGTCAGCTACACCCAGGCAATGCCAGCATGTTTACTCCTAATAAATCCTTTGGAAATTTGGATTGAGACTCGTGATTTAAATGGGGTTAAGTGCCGGAATCCTGACATGCTGCCTGGATCCCAGGAAAGGTCTTAACATGGATGTGGACTCTTTCTAGGCCAACACAGACTGAGATGTTGCAGTAAGCCATGATGGGTGAATGTGGTTTCTCTAATTCCAACCTCGTCACCTTGAATGCTGGGAGTTGCAGTCCGCCTCTCCTTCAAGTTGTCTAGGTTGAGAAAAACCGCTAAGCCATCATTCACTGGGCTTACAAGCGAAGCCATCAAACCTGGTTTCTATTGTTTCGCGCAACCAAGGCCAACCGTAGCTAATTACGGCTCTTTTTGCAAGCCTCCAATTTGTCTGTCTGTCTCTCTCTCTCATCTTTCTCCACTTATCTCTTTCCGTTGCCGTGTTTGAATACCGTAATCTCCATTTCTTTCTTCAGCCCTCTGACCTCCTCTTGTCTGTTCCTTTCCGAACCAGGATCTTTACCGCCGTTATGCCCATGGTTGCTGCCGGATTGATCCCGGACGATCCCACATTGCAGCCAATCAGAAGACTTATGTCTCTTGTAGGGACTCTGGATTTTGAAATATTTTTTTTTTTTGGTTTTTTTATACCCCTTTTCCCCGCCTTCGCTATAGTTCGTATGCTCCCTTGCCCTCTTTTTTTTGCATGACCCGCCGCTGTTTAACCCCCTTTAACTCACGCTGTGTTCTCGTTGGCTGACTGTGGGATCGTAAAAACCCCGACACCCCCCCAAACGAGAAAAACGGGGAGCGCTAAAAACACTCTTGGGGTGCCCGGCGTGGCCGCTGATGAAATGTTTTTAAGTGCACTTCTGCCTCAGTTGCAACAACTTAGATGCTCGAGACAATATCGTGCAAATTTTGGCCTGTCCTTCGGTCCCTCTGGCCCTCCGTGAATTTCCCTGACCCTTCAACCTACCTTCTACAGGTAGTCCTTGACTTACGACCGTTCGTTTAGCGTCTGTTCAGGTACAACGGTCCTGAAAAACAAGAGTCCTTGCTCTTACGGCCACCACAGCCTCCCTGCAGTCATATTAACCATGATCCTGGGCTAACGTGATATATATATGTATGTATGTATGTATGTATGTATGTATGTATGTTTTCTTCTCAGCAGTTTGAATGTTTATATCAAGGGTCTTCAAACCTGGCAAGTTTAAGACTTGTGGATTTCAACTCCCAGAATTCCTGAGCTAACATGACTGGAGGAGGAGAGACCCCTGGAATAGACAGATAGAGATAGAATAGATAGAAGGAGAGAGAGAGAAAGATAGAATAGATAGAAAGAGAGAATAGAGGGGGAGAGAGAAAGATAGGATAGATAGAATAGTAGGCTAGAGAGAGGTAGAATAGAGAGAGATAGGATGGATGGATGGATGGATGGATGGATGGATGGATAGATAGATAGATAGATAGATAGATAGATAGATAGATAGATAGATCAAGGCTCCTTCAAACTTGGCAAGTTTAAGACTTGTGAGCTTCAACTCCCAGAATTCCTGAGCTAACATGACTGGAGGAGGAAGAATTCTGGAAGTTGAAGTCCACAAGTCTTAACTGTCAAGTTTGGAGACCCCTGGTTCATATAAACATCCCTCGATGTTGAAAATGCTTTTAAACCTTCTGTGATCGTCTGCGGGGTGCTTGGCCCATGACCGAGAGCGCCTTTCCCCGTGTTTGTCCTTTAGACCAGTTCCTCTAATTGTGTTAAGAGCCTAATATGCCAGCATATTAATGGTTCCCGTGGATTAATGCCGCTTTTCAATCCCGCCCACTTACAGACTGTGGCTCTGTTTTTAGTTCTAACTGCACCCCCAAATTAGCAGCAGACAGAAAGCGTTTATGCGCTACTAATGAACCAGCGACGGCCTCGGGTTTCAGTTGATGCGTTAGGATGAGTTCCACCCACCTGCCAGCCTCATTAAGCAGGCAGGAGTCAAGAACTTGTTTTAGATCATGTTGTTAATTATAGGGTAATGCCATTTCGATAATAAGAATATTGGAAAAAAAAACAAAACACCCAATTGCTTTCTCTATCTCTAGATCATCCTGAGAAACACGTCAGTTACTAGGATGTTTTTAAGAGAATAAACATTATAATCCATGCTTTCTTTCCTCTCTCTAGTTTTTCTCAACCTGGGGAAGTTTTAAGATGTCTGGAGTTGAACTCCCAGAATTCCCCAGTTAGGAAACCAATCTTAAGGTGACAAAAGTCCAGACTCCCAGAATTCCCCAGCCAGCATCTTAAGATGGCTGGACTTCAACTCCCAGAATTCCCTAGTCAATATCTTAGCATTTGTGGACTTGAACTCCCAGAATTCCCCAGTTAGGAAAACAATCTTAAGATGGCTGGACTTGCAACTCCCAGAATTCCCTAATCAGTTCTGGGAGTTGAAATCTTAATGTTGCCATACTGGCTGGGGAACTCTGGGAGTTGAAGTCCATGCGTCTTTAAGGCTGTCACGCTGCTGTAAATTCAAACGAAAACCTAAACAAACGGTTTAAGTCAAGGACCACCTGTTCCAAGAGTTTTCCACCCGTTTCCACCTCCCTCTGTTAAAATAAAGCCTGTTTACAGAGCTTGCTATAACGCCACCCACCCCGTAAACCATCCCAGGAGGTTTCAGGTCTCTAACCCACACCTTGTCTTCTTGTCTTGTGCCAGATTTAGCTTCTTCTCCCGCGACAAGAGACGCCTGCAAGCCACCCAGCGAAACTCCTCCTTCCACGGCTCCTTCGGCGAGTGGGCCGACCGAAACAAAGACGACGTCTACACCGAACAAGGTTTAGAAGCTCTGCAGCACCTGTGACCCAAACCCAGAACTCCCGCTTGTACCGAGGCGCCGAACGCAGAAGCACAGAACACAGAAGCCCCTCGGGTGGCGAATGGCGCCGGTCCACCCACTCTACCCGTCTTTCCAGGCTGTTGTCAGCTCAGGGTGCGGGGAAAAGATGCATTAAACCAGAATTAGCGCTCCAGATTCGTCCTGCAAGCAATGGAATCGCAGTCTGGATTTGGGAAGCCAAATGCAATATGCCAGCGTTTCTGACTTCTGCTGACTTGTGGGTGAACGTCACATCACCAATGCTTCCCTTTATCCGTTTCCCCTCAAAAATTTTTTAAAAAATAGGATCTGGGCCATTCCTGAAGAAATTCCCTGCTAAGGACCGATGATCTTTAGACACACCCTTATTTGAAGGGCATTTTTTTTAAAAAAAAAAAAACCAATATATTATTATTTTGTTCCCCTCTTGCTTCCGCCCGCTAAAACTTCCTGCTCCACATCTCAAGCAGAGTTTTGCAGAAATCTTCTGGCATTACTTCTAGAAGGGGGAGCTGCTCTCTTTAAACACAGATTCAGGAGGAGACATATTTTGTGGCTTATTTATAGTGCCTGCAACGTGCTGCCTTGTGTTTTGCTCTGAATTCTCTTGACATGGGATGGCAACTGAACAACTGAAATCTATCTTAATCCTTTTTTTTCCCCCTTTTAATTACGATTCTCACCGACCTTTGCAGCAGCAGCAGCAAAAAAAATAATAATATTTCACCCCTGCCCTTCTGTGTGAAGGCAGTCGCTTCAATCCAACACACCGACTTCAGTTTGACAAGTTTTGGGAACTGTTTCTGGAACAAGTTCCTTTCCACTCTTTCTGGAGGAGATCAAAGAGGTTTAATGGGTCTGAATGTGGTGCACGATCGCTGGAATTAAATATGAAGATTGAGGGACAACGGGGGAAAAAAAAAACTGAAGGGGGGTTTATTCCCCCAACCTGAAGCGGTGTTTTTTTCACTTTAAAAGGTGTGGACTTTCAACTCCCAGAATTCCCCAACCAACAGGAAATGCTCAGGACACTTCTAAACACATCCAAACAGCCCTTTATGAATTTAAGTTGCTTTGCACACTTCACGGGTTAACCCTTTACTGAATATTCCCCGCCCTCTGTATTCTCTCTTAACACAATTATCTGGGAAGGTTTAGGGCAGGGGTGTAAAAACTTGGCAAATTTTAAGACCTGTGGACTTCCAATTCCTAGAATTCCCCAGCCAGCCATGCTGGCTGGGGAATTCTGGGAGTTGGAAGTCCACACAAGTCTCAACACAGTTGCCGAATTTCAACACCCACGCTCTCTAGGATAACAGCAATCATGCAACCACAGGATATGCAAAGAAGACGCTTAAGTTTTTATTCAAGATTCAGGGTGTTAGATAGTTAAAAGGCAATAAAGAAGATTTGGCTGGGACTAGTAGAGAGAACAATATCAAACCGTAGAATTCTTTTTAATATGCTAAATAAACTTATTTCTGAATTAACAAGAGGCCTCCGGGTGATTTCACTTGACTGGTAAATGGTCTTTCGGTCTGAGTCCTCCCACATCCCATCTCTACAATTCAATCCCACCTCACTTTTTAGGACAGGGGTCTTCAAACTTGACAGCTTTAAGACTTGTGGACTTCAACTCCCAGAATTCCTCCTCCAGTCATGTCAGCTCAGGAATTCTGGGAGTTGAAGCCCACAGGACAAACTTGCCAAGTTTGAAGACCCTTGATCGACTCTTATCTATCTATTCTACCTCTCTTTATCTACTCTATCTATTCTATCTTTTTCTCTCTCTCCCCCTATCTATTCTATCTTTCTTTATTCTACCTCTCTTTATCTATTGCAGGGGTCTCCAAACTTGACACCTTTAAGACTTGTGGACTTCAACTCCCAGAATTCCTCCTCCAGTCATGTTAGCTCAGGAATTCTGGGAGTTGAAGTCCACAACTTGCCAAGTTTGGAGACCCTTGTTTTAGGGCAACAGCTACCCTTCTGCCTTGAGGAAGCTTTCAAGGCCTTAGTTTAATCCAGACCTTTTCAAGAATTAAAGGATGTGGGATGGGAGTGGCAATCCTAAACCATCTCTCTCTCCTTTTTTGGCACTTCAGCTATAACAGGCGGTAGTATCAATGTTGAGAATTTGGGATCCGTCGTTCAGCAGATCTTGGAATAAGACACAGGCGCAACGATCAAGCGAGGGCACAACATTCACTCTTCTCCAGCTGGGAAGCTGCCATTCCTGCCACAATGTCTGTGCTGGTTCCAGACGACCAACCACCTTGGCTCAGAAGCAAGATCTATGCTTCTGATGTCCTCCTTCAACTGAGCAGCGTTTGAAGGAAATGTCCCATCGGTGTGGCGCGGCCTTCATCCCTTGCCGTCTTTGGCCTCGCGGTTCCGGTCTTTCCTCTCCCGCTCCCTCCCTTCCGTGGCTCTGCCTCCTCGGTCTTCTCTTACGCGGTGTTCCAGGTCTCGCTCGCTCTTGCCGTATCCCCACGACCGTTCTCGTTCCGATCGCCGGGGCTCCCGGCTTCGCTCGTAATCTCGTTCCCCGGCCTTCCGATCCCTCGAGTCTCCCCGGGACCAAGCCCGCTCCCTTTTCCCCTCGCTGTAAAAATCGTTCTTCATGGCAGGCAAGTTGATGGGCTTCCTAAAAGGCCTGTCTCGGCCTCCGAACCGCAGCTGGCCCGATTCCTTCTTCCCTCCGAAACCACCTCCAAGCCTACGGGGGATCCACCCCTTGAGGGTCCTTTCCAGCTCAAAGTCGACAAAGATTTCCCGCTGGTCGATGATCAGCTTGTTGGCGTCGCGGTGGGCTTTCAACAGGGCCCGTTCCTCTTTGTACTCGATAAAAGCGTAGCCTTTGGAGAAACCCGTAACCAGATCCCGAACCAGGCGGATTTTCCGAATGTCTCCGTACCGGGAGAACACCTCTTTTAACTTCTCTTCCGTGGTTTGCAGGTTGAGCCGGGCTACGAAGAGGGTCAGGTGAGGGTCTCCGGAAACAGCTTTGTTGGGGACATAGCGGGCTGTCATGGCCCTCCAGACCGCCCGGTCGTGAGGCTCTTCATCGGTGCCATCGATGCTTCCGGCTTTGAGGGGGTCGTACTCCTTAGCGATGGGCACCCACTCGTTCATTGCTGGAGGAAAATGTATTTATTTAGCATACGGCATATCACAGGCAGACTAGCAATATATAGGAAGGTTTCACCCAGGTTACTAAACCACAATAAAACACAGGTGGCTCTTGATTTACGACCACAATTGAGAATAAAAATTTATGTTGCTAAATGAGGTATTTATTAAGTGAGTTTTGCCCCTTTTGTGCCCCACAGATACAGGGTAACCACGACTGACCATGATAGACGAAAGTGAGTGGCTTCCTTCTCTTTAAACCATGTGGGCAGACAGGTAGCAATGGGTGGGTCCATCCTGGAGCTGCCTTCCTCTGCTTGCTTCATACTTACTCTGTGCTTACTCACAAGGATCCTTGGTGCTCTCTGAGCTTGGTTGTTTTCTTGAAGACATTTCATGACCCAACTAGGGAACATCATCAGGGCTAGAAGGAAGGAGGATTTGCTCTCTGTTTATAGACAAGCGGCTTGCCATGTCAGTGTTGGTGGGAGTGGTGTTTTCTTCTTGATTCGGCTGTTTGCTTGTCTGTATTGTTCATTTCTTGATTAGGTAAAGTGTTGTTTACTGCTTGTATATAAACAGGGAGCAAACCACACTCCCTTTAGCACTGATGATGGTACCTAGTTGGGTCATGAAACACCTGCAAGAAAACAACCAAGTTCAAAGAGCACCCAGGACTCCTCAGTCCTTCCTCTGCCTCTCCCTTCCTTCCTTCTTTCCTTCCTTCCTGTCCTTCCTCACCCCACTCCCTTTAGTACTGATGATGTTACCTAGTAGGGTCATGAAACGCCTGCAAGAAAACCACCAAGCTCAGTGAGCACCAGGGACCCCCCCGCACCCCCAAGTTCAACCCTGAGCAGCAAATATGCACCTTTATTGGTTACTCACAGGTCTTGAAAGCCCAGCATTCTGGGCTTCCCTGGTACGTTGGCAACCCGGTCAGTTGGCAATCCCCATTTCCTGCCTTCCATGCTCCCTGCAGAACCCAATGCATGCCCTCTCCAATCAGGGCTTGTACCCCCTCCCCTCCCCCCGCCCTTCTGTGACCCTCTAATCAATGCTTCCCCCTCCCCCCCGTCCCTCCCCGCCCCCAATATTCCCCCCACGACCCTCCCCCCAAATTGTGACTTTGCAAGAACTAAACAGACTCACTTCTGCCTGCAAGAAACCTGGAAGAGGGATCTAACTTCGTTTCCACCTGGGCAGATTCGTCAAGAAAGAGATTTTTCTTTTTTTTTTTCCCCCTCATAGAAGAGGGGTCTGGCAATACGAAGGTTGCTTTTTAAACTCAAGGTCTTTTTTTTTTAAAGAGAGAATTAAAATAAAAACAAATCCCACCCTTTGCTAAAGGCCAACAAGCGTGGGCGAATCGGCCAGTGGGGAAAAGAAGACTCGTTGGCCTTCTCCAAGGTTTACAGTCCGCACCAGCGCCCTCTGGCGGCGGGAGCATCTCTAGCAAGGCGTTTGGGCCCCGCCCTCGAGTCGAATGCAAAATTGTAAAAATGTACAAAACATAATAATACGTCCGTTTAAATAGAAAAAAAAGCTGAAAAGTCTTTCTCCCTGATCCCAAATCCAGTGTTTTCCCACCTTCTGCCTAGCCAACAAGGCAGAGAGGGGGGAAACTGGAAGCTTTTAAGAAGAGAAATAGGAGCCAGCAGTGTGCAGCAGCAGTCGAAAAGGCCAATGCAATCCTAAATTGTATTAACAGAGGGATACAATCGAGATCAGGGGAGGTACTAATACCACTCTGTAAAGCCTTAGTAAGGCCACACCTAGAGTACTGCATCCAGTTTTGGTCACCACACTTATAAAAAAGATGTTGAGGCTCTAGAAAGAGTGCAGAGAAGAGCAACCAGGAGGATGAGGGGACTGGAGGCTAAAACATACGATGAATGGTTGCAGGAACTGGGCCTGGCTAGTCTAGGGAAGAGAAGGACCAGGGGAGACAGGATAGCGGTCTTCCAATATTTGAGGGGCTGCCACAGAGAGGAGGAGGAAGGGGTCAAGCTATTTTCCAAAGCACCCGAAGGCCAGTAGAATTAATGCGAAACGTTAGTCCAATGGGGGGAAAAATGGGTTCTATGGGCTTATTTTACAGGGGAGGAATACTGAGGCCCAGGAAAGACAGGCAAATGGAGGATGAGCATGAAATTCGTGTCTGCGAAGGCAGGAGGGGGAAAGAGGTTTAAAGCCAAACAACAGGCCTTGAAGAGCCAGCCAGTCCAGGGGGAGCTGCTCCTATGGGCCCATTGTAAAGGGGAGGAATGTTGAGGCAGAGAGAGAGAGAGAGAGAGAGAGAGGCAATAAAGGCTCAGGGTGGAATCTATTTAGTTTTTTTAGTTTAGTTTCCTTTGTCATTGCGCCTCGTTCAATGAAATTAAATACCGTTTTGCTGGCAGTGGGAGGGGTGAACTTTGCAGGGGCTCAAAGCAGGAAGGAGACAAAAAGGGCAGTCCTTGGAGAGCCAGCCTCGTGGGCCCATTTTACAGGGGAGGAATGCTGAGGCCCAGGCGGGGAAAGAGATCGTTGGCGTTAAATCTGGGTGGAATCTCTTATTTGTTTTGACTGGCTGGGGGAAGAAGACTCTGTGGTAACCAAACAGCCAGGAAGGGAAGAGAAAACCAGCTTCTACTTTCTGAAGGCATGCAGGGGGAAGTCGGCTTTCTCCACGCCTTCCCCACCATCTCCATGGTTACATCTCTCCCCCACTCTTTTGCTTTCACACACACACACACACACCCCTTCCACCCTCCTGCCCGCCTGCCCGCTTTTGATTGGACTCTGCAAGCTCTCAAGAGCAGTTTGGAGAGGTTTGGCCCGAGCTGAAACTTTGAAGAAAGAAGGAAGCGTTTTCCCATCATGTCTCAGTGGGGCCTCTTTTTGTGACCCTTTCCAGGATGCAAGCCCAGCCGCAGCACTGTGAAGGAGAGGAGGAGGAGGAAGAGGAAGAAGGAGGAGGAAGAGGAGGAAGCAACCACAGCGCATCAGAGGGTCCTTTCGGCAAAAGCCCCTTCCATCTGACGGCCGAAGATGTCTACGACATCTCCTACATCCTGGGAAGGGAGCTGCACACCCTCGGCACCGAACCCCAGGCAGAGATGCCCGCCAGGGTAGCCCGCTTGCAGTTCAGGGTGGTCAGCATTCTGGAGATGTTGGAAGCGCTGGTGAGCGAGAGCCACCTGGCCATGGAAGCCCTCAAGCTGGAAAGGGACAGTTTGAAAAGGGAGCTGGAGGATCTGCGGCAGCAGGTGACATCTGGCACCGCCGGAGAGGTAAGCGGGAAGGGGTTCGGTGGGTGGGTGGGCGGGTGATGGAGAGGAGATCTGTCGGTGGATCTCTAGACTGTGGTCCTGTGGTTTCACCCGCTTCAGGTCCGAGTTGGGGAGGTGTTAGGATGTCTAGTCCGTTGAAGAGAAGGACTAAGGGAGACATGGTAGCAGTCTTTCAATATATCAGGGGCTGCCCCAAAGAAGAGGGAGTCAAGCTATTCTGCAAAGCACCTGAAGGCAGGACAAGAAGCAATGGGTGGAAATTAATCAAGGAGAGAAGCAACCTAGAAATAAAGAGGAATTTCCAGACAGTGAGAACAATTAATCGGTGGAACAACTTGCCACCAGAAGTTGCGAATGCTCCAACACTGGAAGTTCTTTAAAAAGATGTTGGATAACCTTTTGTCTGAAGTGGTGTGTGTAGGGTTTCCTGCCTCGGCAGGGGGTTGGACTAGAAGACCTCCAAAGGTCCCTTCCAACTGTTGTTACTCTATTCTAAAGATGTAGGGCAGAGATGCTTAACCTGGGCAAGTTTAAGACGGGTGGACTTCAATGCCCAGAATTCCCTGGCTTCTCCAGAAAAGGGCTCTCCCTAAACTTGTGGACTTGAAGACTTGTGGACTTCAACTCCCAGAATTTCTGAGGATCTGGCCTTCATTAGAGCATTAGGGGGTCTCCAATCTTGGCAACTTTAAGATTTGTGGACCTCAACTCCGAGAATTCTCTAAAATCTGGTTTCTTTGCAGCAGGCTCTCTCAAAACTTGTCGACTTTAAAATTCGTGGACTTCAATTCCCAGAATTTCTTGGCCGGTATAGGTTGATAGCTGGCTGAGGAATTCTGGGAGTTGAAATCCACAAATTGCCAAATTTTGGAGACCGTTGCTTGGTCCATTTCTCTAGATTAGGGATTCCCCCAAACTTGGCCACTTTTAAGACTTGTGGAATTCTCCAGCCAGCATAGCTGACTCTCTTTGTAATCCCTTCCTCTGCAATCTCTCTCCACTTTAGGAGATTAAGAGAGAGAGAAAAATAGACACGGCTGGCTGGGGGATTCTGGGAGTTGAAGTCTAGCGGTCTTAAAGTGGCCAAGTTTGTGGATCCCTGATCTAGATAGCTCAGAATCAGCTGCCTGGGGGCACCCTATTTCTCTCCAAGGTAGGGTCAGTTATGGCTGCCTTTGGCGTGGTTTGATGAAAAAGCTTGCCAGCTGTTGATGTGCGTCAGTCACAAGGCCGCTGGGTGGAAAGTTCTGATTTAGGAAAGGGAGGATGCAGAGAAAAGAGAAGTTCGGTTAGGTTTCAACTTTCCACCCAGTCACTATAACTATAAATTACCTGGTGCTTTTTAGCTTCCGCAACTATCACTTTCCATTATTTCAATTTAATTTGGGGTGGTTGTTTTTTTTAACTTCAAGATCTGCCTTAAGTGCATCTTGAAGTTTGCAGGTGTTTTGCTGTGTATTTCCAGCCACACCTCATCAGCGCAACTGGCCCCAAATCCTGCTGGATTTTTGTTTTTTTGATAGAATGCAATTTTTTTATTTATTTTTTTCCTTACCTCTCTGCCATGTTTCACATGGCCCCCTCTTAGCTCACCCTCTGTGGTGGAATGTAGCCTGGATTCCCAGCAGGGAGGGGCTGCCTTCCAGAGGAGCAAGAGGCAACTCAGCTCAGATAGTTTGTGTGCGAGAAAGTGGGTGAAGACAGCTCCTGCTTAACAGTTCCCAGAGTATACAGATAGACTTCGACTTACAACCACAGTTGGGACAAGAATTGTCGCTAAGCAAGGTGATTATTAAGTGAATTGTGCCTGATTTCACAACCTTTATTTGCTGCGGTCGTTAAGTGAATCCTGCAGTTGTTCGATGAATCCGGCTTCCTCCGTTGCCTTTACTTTTCAGAGATCAGCTGGAAAGGTGGCAAACGGCAATCACGTGAGCTCAGGAATGCTGCAACCTTCATGAATACCTTGCCAGGTGTGCGAAGCACCTGAATTTTGATCACGTGACTGTGAGGATGCTTTAATGGATGTAAGGAGAAGGGCTGGTCATAAGTTTTGTTTGTAACTTCAAATAAATCATTAAACCAATGGTTGTAAGTCGAGGACAGCCTGTTTATGCTTTAGGTGGTTGGTCATTTGCTGTAGTTTGGCAAGATTCTGTCTAGAGGTGAGGAATGCTAAACAAGTGTGCTTGAAGGAATTGTCAGGTGCCTTTCCAGGTGTGATGACCCAGAGAGTAACACAAATGTAACAAAATCCAAAGCGTAAATAAATATCCTTTAATGCCTCCAACTTGGCCCCACTGTTTAATAATTCTCCGTTGGAGATAAAACGTACTCAAAAATAGTCTTCAAGAGAAAGCAATACAGTCTGAACTTAATGAGCAGATAGAGGTGAAATGAAATACCAAACAAACTACATTGAAGGAATTTCCACGATGGAACAGGAGGAGTAATTACCAACTTCAAGGAGATAACAAGGCACAGTCTGTTGGAAGGACGCCAACCAAGATAACTTCAGCCCAAAATAACACACTCTTTGCTTCTGGCAACGCTGTGTTGTAACCATCCCGCTTGTCTACTATTCTCCCCAGCTGCAATTAATGAGGGGATCATGGCCGCTTCCTCTCTCATAAGCCAAGTTGTTTCCTTATCCGCTCCTCCCTGCGTGTCCTAGGATGAAGAGGGGATGGGCCTGAGTCCTCTGCCCAGCCGGCCTCTGCCCTTCCCCAGCCTCCTCCACAACCTCCAGAGCCACACCTTCACTCCCTGTTGGCTGTTCCTTCTCTCCCTCAAGAGTCTGACTCTACCAAGGGTATGACACTGGGTTTGGGGAAGCTGATTGCATCCTGCTTAAGAGCCCCGTTTCTATTGGGTTCCATTTCACTGTTCTCTCCTCTCGTAGGTCAATCCGGGCCCCAACAAAATGATTGTGGACCTCACGGACGTGAACCGTCCCCGTTTCACGCTACAGGAGCTCAAAGATGTTCTTCAGGAGCGCAATCACCTAAAAGCCCAGCTTCTCTTTGCTCAGGAAGAGTTGGAGGGTTACAAGAGGTACGAAAAAGTGCAATTTTTCATTGCAACGGACTGGGAACTGCAGCCTTCTGGGTTTGTGAGGAAACCAGGACTTACTTCAGGTCCATGGTATCCATTAATCCAGGGGCCTTCAAACTTGACAGCTTTAAGACTTGTGGACTTCAACTCCCAGAATTCCTCCTCCAGTCATGTCAGCTCAGGAATTTTGGGAGTTGGAGCCCACAAGGCTTAAAACTTGCCAAGTTTGAAGACCCTTGCTGTAATACCGGAAGTGACGAAACGGGGCTATAATTTGTCCTGAAATGCCTTGCAGAAGGTTTTTCCAAGCCTCTGGGAGGCCGAAAAAGGCTTCATACTAGCCGAAAAATCAGCTGTGAGGCACAGTGCAGGTAAGGAGGTGGCGGGACGGGGGGGTTGCGCGTGCATGCGCAGGGTGTGTGTGCATTGCATTCTGGGTGCTGGCAATGCGAGTGCGCTGGCGTGCACACAATTTTTGGCACAGGAGCCCCAAAAAGGTTAGCCACCACTGGTATAGGCTCTCCTGCTTGTGCAGAGGGGTTGGACTAGAAGATCTCCAAGGTCCCTTCCAGCTCTGTTATTCTGTTAAATTCCTCATTCCAGGGGCCATTCATATAGATCTTACCTATTTTATTATTTACTAGAATAAAACCTTTTACAAGGTGCACAGGGGCCTTGTAAAGAGACCACGAACATGGAAAAACGAAGACCAGCAATGGTTGCTAAAGCCCAAGAGTTAACCAGACCATGATTTACCCAATTAACCCCATATGGTCAGGCTGCTTTATCCTACATTAAACCATAAATGGAGAGTGTGGGTTGGCCCTACACCCTGGGATAAAGGCAGCTTGCTCTTTGTGAGTCAGCGTGTTGTGCAAAACCACAGCACACGTGAGGTGGCGTGTGGGGGTTTGGCGTGTAAGCGGATTGCAATAAACAGCTTGTGTTTTTTCTTTTCCTCTACTGCCTAGTGGTTATATTTCTCAGAAGCAGGAAAAGGACAGTCCCACGCAAAGAGAAACGACGGTGGGCACGCCCTCTGGCTCTGCTCGATTTAAAGAGAAAACTACAATCAAGCAATGGTGAGTAACTTAGATTCCTCCTTTGAGAAGGGTCACCGGCCAGATAAAACCTTGCAGGAATTGCCCCCACTAGCTGAGATTAAAATCAAGGTCTTTAAAACAAGGGACAAGATTTCAGTCTAAGCCAGAGTTTTTCAACCTCGTAGCAGCTTTTTAAGATGTCTGGACTTCAAAAACATGAAGGAATTTAAGATAAGCAATTTATAGATTAAATGTATATATTTGCACAAATTATATATATATTTGTAAATATATGCACAAAGGATAGAATTGTATGAGATTGATGTCACAGAACTGTTAATGCAATGATTATCTTTTTGTTTTTAAAAGATATAAAAGACTAATAAAGTTTATTTAAAAAAAAGATGTCTGGACTTCAAGTCCCAGAATTCCCTAGCCAGCTGGCTGGGGAATTCTGGGAGTTAAAGTCCACATTGATCTAGGTCATTCTTCTTTATCACCAGTTCTCTGGAGAATCAGGGAGCAGCTAAAACAACAGATGAGTGGCCCACATCCTGAATAAAATTAAGCAAGGCCTTTTAGACAGTGGGACAGGTACAAGTCCTCAGATTTCGTATTTGCAGGGGAATTCTGGGAGTTGAAGTCCACATTATTTCAAATTGTAGGCGTCCTTAGCCAATCTCCTCTACCTTCAAGTCCCCGGAGACTCAATTTATCCACACTAAGCAGAAATAAAAATCTACCTTTCACTGATTATTCTTTCCTTTAATAAGACCTTCAGAAAAATGCCTGTAATTTTCAGTATTTGGATTGATAAACGCTCCAGGTATTCAGTGTTCAAAATATTGGCTAGTGCAGAGAATTCCTTGGAAGTGATTTTTGACTTTTACACTTGGTTTAATCTTTAGGAATTCAGAATCTGTTCCTGCCACTCATACGCACACTAACTCCTCCCTTCAATTGCAGGTTTGCCTTTAAAAAGTTACGATGAACTATGTCTGCCCTGGGATGTCCCAAACTGGAAAGTCAAATTTTAAAAACTGGGGTTGCAATACTTGAAGACTGTTTCGCGATTCGTTGCGGCTGGTGGAGGCTTCAACCTCTGGTTTTATCCCAATCGGTTATCTTCTTGTTGGCATAAAGCTTTTTCAACCTGTGGCTTTCTCCAAATCTACGGGACTTTTAAGGTGGATGTTCTGATAATACTTTTGCCACGTTAAATTTTTACTGGAAATGTTTATATGTCTGCAGCCAGCAGAATAAAGTGTCACAGAGTTTCTAGAATCCTTGAAATGATCTTTGCAAACATGACTTCCCGAGTTTTGTTTCTTTTTTCCCAGTTAAATTTTAATTTGAAATGCACCTCATATAATAGAAATTAAAGAACTGTTCGCTCTTGTCTATCCAGAGCTTTCAGTCCCAGTTTAGAGCGTTTATAATATCTAAGAGGAATGTGGTTTAAGACAGAACAAACAATAGTTTTGTTACAGAGTTCATTTGATAGGAAAGCCAGGGATTCACAAGAAGAGAGAAACCATGATTTGAAAAAAAGAAATACAAGAAAACCACCCCACACTGGTTCGTATGAACAATTGAGGCCTCTAGTCAGACACAAAAGGCCTTTGCTTTTAATAAATAGTTCACTTTATTTATCTTCTCGTACAGAGAAATAATTTTCTTCAGGTCATTCCTTTTTCATCATTTTTTTTAAAAAACCCACAACATCGCCCTTGGGTCCCCAATTTTTGTAGCGCCAGCATCAGCGTATCGAGCTTTATTGAAATGGCCCTCTCTCTCTTGCCCTGCAAGAGTGTGACGCTCAGCTGGGACTACATTTCCCAGGATTCCCGGCCAGGTGTGCCATCCCCACCTCTCTGGAAAGCACCTGGTAGGCGCGGGGTGGTGGAAAAATAAATGGCATACGTGAATTTCAGGCAGAAAGTTAAAACTTGGAAAGCACATTCCTCGATTCTGCCTCCTCATTCTTACGCATTTCAGAATTCTCTTCCCCACAAAGTGCTTTACTGCAGCTCCCCCCACCCCACCCCCAGGATGAGAGCTCAGAATTCTGGGACATGTAGTCCCAACCCACCCTTTCCGGGAGAGAATTCTGGGAAATGCAGTCCCAGCGCGCTCCTCCATTCCCTTCGCTCTGATCCACTTTTGCCTGTTTCCACACGTTGGGGAACGCCGAGTTGAATAAACCTCCATCCAAATAGTTGATGCGGGAAGTTTCTCATTTCATCCTAAAACCCTCGGTTGCTAAAAGTCCCCGTTTAAGAACAAGCCCCCCCTCCCAAATTCCATTAAAAGCCGTTTTTCCCCCTTCCTTCCTTTCCCCAAAAAAGAGAGAGAGAGAGAGACAGAAGGGAGCAAATACAGAGCACAGCTCAACTCCTCTGTTGGTTTTCCAAGCAACGCGCTTCTCAACCGATACCCAAGCGACCTACTTTGCAAACCTGGGGAGAAGAGTTTGGGCCCCCCCCAGAAAGCACCAAGAATCAAAACAACCGTGTTCAAACGGCTGGCCTCTTCTCCCAGCTGAGGAAATTGCAAAAGCAAGCATGCTGTTTGGAGCCAGTTATGTCCCCACCTCGCCTCCCTGGCTCGGTTCCGCTTCCTTCCTCCGCTCGCCGGTGGCGATTTTTGGATGGCTCACAATAGCAAAAAAGATAAAACGGCGGACAGCGCGCGCGCACACACACACACACACACACACAAACAGAGCCAGATTCCCCGCTGTCACACAAGGAACAGGGTTCTTGAAAGACAAGGCGACCCTGGTCTCCACACTGCAACCTCTGTACTTCCTTCTTGACGACAAATCCAGTGATTCTCCGCAGAAGTTAAAACCAGTTTCCAATTTTCTTCCTCTTTCAAACGGGCTGCTTTGAAAAGACGTATTTTTTGCAGCGTTCTTCCAACTGCTCTCAGGAAGCAGAGTTCCTCATCTCCTGGCTGTTTAACAGAGACATGATCTTCTCCAGGTTTTTGAGCTGCAGCCTGCAAAGCGGAGGTGATAATCCTGGACAAAGACCTCTAAGGGAAGCTTAGGCGGTCCTTCAATTGTTCTCGTCCGGCTTTCGCTGGTACCTGGCTAAGAAAAGGAGACCAGGTTTCCTTCACAAAATCCGTTCTTCACTCTTTCTTCGATTAAGTTTCAAGATTTAAAGTGTTGCATCGGTTAAAAAAAAAAGTATCTGTAAGAAATCCGAACGTTTCAGAGATTTCCATGCAGACAGGAAGAACGAGTCGAAGCAGGGATCTCTGCGAAGCCGATGTGGAAGAAAGGAGAGAGAAGAAGAAGAAAGAAAGAGAGGAGGAGGAAGGAGGGGGAAGAGGATGGGAGGAAGATGAGAAGGATGGAAGGATAAGTAGAGGGGATGGGAAGGAGAAAAAGGAGAAGAGGAAGAGGAGGAAGAAGGAGGAAGGGGAGGAGGAGGAAAAATAGAAATAACTATAATAATAAAATCAGGCCTTTCATATTTAAGTCTGTTCAGGTGAAGACTACATCATCCCTGCTGGCGTTTCAGCTAGCCACGAAGGCATCCCCTAAGAGCTGCCAAGGAGTCCTTTTGAAGGAAAACTCAGTGCTTACTCTCGTGCAAGGGATCCTCTTAGTGTTTCAACCAGGGGTGGGCCTCCAAAGAAGCTTTGCTCCGATCCCCGTAATCGTACAGCAACTCCTCACCAGCTCTGATGTCCCGGGAGGCCACCAGTATGAGGTGGGGGACGCCACTGATGTCGTGGAGCTTCGTCTGGCAATTCCCACACTTGCTGTGATTGACCAAACGTCCCAGGCGGTTTGTCTCTTTCGTGGCATCGACGCTGAGGGGTGGATTTCAAGGGAAGAGAGAAGAAGAAGAAAACTCAGGAAGGCCTGATTTCTCTGGCCCGGTCATGTTGACAAAAACCGCTAAAAGAGGTATTTTAGTAGGGAAAAAAACCCGGTTCCCTATTGTGCTGGCAAGCAGTTTGGATTTGTAAAGTAAGCAATTGTTCTAAACCAGGTTGAAGATGGGCGGACTTCAACTCCCAGAATCCCCCCTGACCGGACTTGCTGGCTGGGGAATTGTGGGAGTTGAAGTCCGTCCATCTCCACACATCATCGGAGTCCCATCTACCATAGAGTCTGGGCTCTAGAGAAGCCGGACCCTAAGGAATTCTGGGAGTTTAAACCCCCACTTCATAAAAGTTGAAGTCCACACATCATCTGAGCTCCAGAAACCATAGTGTGTGCGGGCTCTAGAGAAGCCAGACCCCGGGAATTTCTGGGAGTTGAAGTCCACCCATCTTCAAGTTTGCAAGGTTGAGAAACGCTATCGTAAACCGTGGTTTGTTGAATGTAACACAACGGACTGCATAACACGTCAGGCTTTTGAATCTCTGGTTTCAAACATCTCTCGATTGCTTCTCTTACTCTTGGTTTTACTTCTTTTATTAGGGTTGTTTTCTCATTTTAAGGGGGAAAAATGGTTTTCGGAGCAGGATAGGAAGGAAGGAGAGAGGGAGAAGGACTCTTACCAGAAAGTCTTACTCAAGTATTGGAAATAGTACATATAACAGCCCGTTGATGGGTCCTGGGCATAAGCCGCTTCCCGTTTCTTTGCGTCCATAATTTCAATGAGGTCTCCATGATATTCGACCACAAATTCACCCCTGTTAAAATGCCTGGTTGCAATGACACCCCGGCCTTTACCGTCAATAAAATCTATCTGTGGGAGAAAGCAAAAAAAATTATTCATCAGGGAAATCCTTTTTTGGGGTGGGGGGGTGGGCAGTTCTTTGCACTTCGTTCGATGTAACGATCAAAAGGGCGAAAGTCGATTTGTAAACATCCTGGTTCCACTGAAAACAGTTAAAACTGCGTTTTATTTCCGAATTTCAATTACCGTATTTCAATTGCTTTTAACTGCTTTTTATGATATTTATAACACAGCTTTTAAGTTTTTACATCTCTTTGCACATGGCCCATTGTAGGCCACCAGCGATGGCCGATAAATTCTAAATGCGATCTATGAAATATAAATTTACCTTCATCCCATCTTCTTTGCCACTCTTGATTAACTCATCTATCCGTTTCTTCTCCTCCGTCTATGAGATAGAAGACAATGCGGGGAGTCATTGCTACAAATTTCAAGTTTGTCTGTATGTTAGGCTGCCCAAGGTACAGAAATCACCTAGTTATGCCTAGTTTGGTAATCCTGAATCCTTGGGCCCGTCACCAGGAGGCGGTGAATTCTAGTCCTGCCTTAGCCCATGAAAGCTGGCTGGGTGACTTTGGGCTTCTCTCTGCCCAACCTACCTTACAGGATTGTTATGGAGGAAAAAAGGAGGAAGGAGGGAATGTTAGTATGCTTACTGTGTCGAGTTATTTATAAAAGTAATAAAGGCGGGAAAATATATAAATTTTTAAAACCCAGTGTTACTGGAAGGAACATCCTGCACAGAAATCCTCGACACGTTGCTTTCTTTGTTTTAAAAACAGCTCATTCCATTTCACAGAAACCTATCTTTTTTTTTAAAAACATTTTATTAAACAAAACAGGTAAAAACATTGAACATGGTGAAGCCAGTTTGACGTGATTTTGGGTCAATATCGCATATATATATATATATATATATATATATATATATATATATTCTTATAAACAATTATTCAACTATATACATATATACATCTGTTCGTTCATGTAATACATTTTCTAACATCATTCGTCTTCTTTCCATCTCATCCAATCCTATACCCTTTCAACAATTCCTTTCCCAACTTAAGACCTTCCTCTCTGCTCTCGCCAATGATAGAATTTAACCCAAATTGCGTACTATGCTGATTCACCTTTGTTTCTCATTTCTAGAGTTAGCTTGTCCATTTCAGCGCATAGTAAGATTTTGAGAAACCTATCTTCTTTTTTAAATCCTTGGCTATTCCTTTATCACCGAGGGCAAAGTCAGACTCGGGGCAATTTGGGAATTTGTATCATTCTTTAATAGACCTGAAAAGGAACACATTTGTTAACAGTAAGAGGGAAGCTGTAAGAGAGACCCATACCTGTAATTCTTTTTTATTCTTTCTGGAACTTCTTCTAACTGGATAATAGTCAGTTACTTTTCGGTTTGGGGGTGTTTTTCCTTGGCCTCTGAGAGAGAGAGAGAGAGAGAGAGAGAGAGAGAGAGAGAGAGAGAGAGGAGAGAGAGAGAGAGAGAGAGAGAAAAAACCAAACAGGTCAATGTGAAAGGACTGAGGCTTTCTCGTTGCCTCTGGACGCTCGCAAAATTCAGAATTAAGTTAACCCCCAAAGCCTCCCCACTCTTTAAAAGTTGGACTCACTTCCTTCGGGATGCAGGTTTTTTGCCTCCTTTGTTCAGGGCTTGCTTTTGGGTTGGGACCTCATCCGATTTGGCCGGCGGGACTTTCCG